CGCGGGACGCCGTCGCTGCCCGGATGCAGCGCCTCCACTCGTCCTCGCCTCCAACGCAGAGGAGGCATGTTGGCGTCCTTGAGGAGGACTAACGCACCGACACCGAGCGGGTTGACTGAGGTCCACCATTTGGGACGCTGTTGCAGCGTATGGAGATACTCCTGATGCCAGCGCCTCCAGAAGTCTTGGTGTATTCGTTGGACGAGTTGCCACCGACTCAGCCGATTCATCGGTAACGGGGTCACGTCTTGAGTGGGAACGGAGACGAGCGGTTCCATCGTGAGGAAGTGACCCGGCGATAGGACTTCGAGGTCGGCAGGGTCGGCGCTCATCGGGCAGAGGGGTCTGGAGTTCAGGACGGCCTCGACCTGCGCGAGGACCGTCGTGAACTCCTCTATTGAGAGGACTTGATCACCCACGGTCCGCCGCAGGTGGGTTTTAAAGGTCTTGACTCCCGCCTCCCAGAGGCCCCCGAAGTGGGGCGCGGAGGGAGGATTAAAGGACCACTTGATCTTCTCTCGCTCCGCTGCGAGGCCCATGCGGCTTTCTAGTTCCCGTGCGGCCCCTACAAAATTCGTTCCGCAGTCGCTGTAGAGAAGCGAGCAGCGTCCGCGTCGGGCCACAAAGCGTCGCAGCGCAGCGAGGAAGGAGTCGGTGGACAACGAGAAGGCGGCTTCCAGGTGCACCGCCTTAACCGAAAAGCATACGAAAAGGCACGCGTACACTTTGACGGAGGAGACCCCCCGGGCTCGTCGCGTGACTATGTTGAACGGTCCCGCGAAATCCACGCCGCTGATCGAAAATGGCTTGGCCTGTCGGACCCTATCGGCCGGTAGTTCCGCCATGAGGGGCTGAGAGGTGTGTGGCTTTACGCGGAAACATTGATGACATCTCGAGAGTACGCGTTGTATAGCGCGATGCACCCCGAGGACCCAATAATGTTGCGTGAGCAGGTATTGCAGCGTGCGCCGACCAGGGTGCATGTTCGTGCGGTGCACGTGTTCGATAACGAGATCTGTGAGTCTATGTTTACAGGGCAGTAAGGCAGGGTGCTTGTTCTCGAATGTCAATCCGGATTTTGCGAGCCTGCCGCCCACCCTGAGAATACCCACCGGATCAAGGAAGGGAGCGAGTTTGCGAAAGGGCTTGGGGAGCCTTCTCCCGCTTTGAAGACGATTGATCTCATCGCGGAAAGCATCCGCCTGTACACTCTTCACAACGAGTAGTAACGCGGAATGCAGTTCGAGCTGATCTATGGCCAAAGTCGTAGGAGCAGATTTTGCACGGAAGTGATGTACAAACCTGAGAATGTATGCTATAATTCGGCCAATTTTCTCGATTGATGAGAATCTTTCGAGCAATGAATGTACCGCGTCAGGCGGCTCGAGCGCCACGAGCGATACGAGTTTCTCCTCCTCGATCGGAGGGGTTTCCGAATCGTGGGACGGCTCAACTCGGGGTTCGAAGCGAACAAGCCACTCAGGGCCTGCCCACCACATCGAACAGGCCACCAGATCGCGAGGATAAAGCCCGCGGGAGCAGTGATCCGCCGGATTGGACTCCGTGTCGACGTGACCCCAAGCTGATACCGGCACGTTGTCCTGAATGAGGGCAACGCGATTTCTAACGAAGGTCTTCCACCGTTGTGGTGCTGAGCGGATCCAGGCCCGGGCGACCTCGGAATCCGTCCAAGCATACTCGTCGTCAATGTCAAGGTGTCCGCGGAGGGTGCGCCGGACGTACGCGATTAATTTAGACAAGAGCAGAGCCGCGCAGAGCTCCAGACGGGGAATGGTGAGGGGGCGAAGCGGGGCGACCTTAGACTTGGCGCACAGTAATCGGACCCCGACGCCGTCGCGCGTAACGATTCGCAGATAAATCACGGCTTCGTACCCCAGCTCGCTGGCATCGCAGAACCCGTGGAGTTCGCAGCGATCTACATGGCACGAGTTAAACGCGCGAGGAACGCGAAGGGAAGATAACACGCCGAGCTCCGTCTGGAAACGACTCCAACTGCGCCGAATGTCCATCGGAGGCTCATCGTCCCAATCTAACTTGAGGGTCCACAGCCGCTGAATTAAGCACTTCGCGGTAAAGGTGAGTGGGGCCAGAAAACCCAGGGGGTCGAATATGCGCGCCACTTCCGACAGTATAGTGCGTTTGGTGCACTCACGATCCAACGCGTTGACTTGAAACCCGAAACTGTCAGATCGTGAGTGCCACCGAAGGCCCAATATCTTCTGAGATTGATCCTCGCTTGACTCGAAATCTAACATCGATTGGCTACATAACTGCGGGTCGAGGCCCTCCAGCGCGGCAGGATGGCTGCTCGACCACTTTCGAAGTTCGAAGCCGGCGCTTCGGAGAAGCGATAGCAATTGGTCGCGGAGTGCGCGAGCCTGTTCCACCGTCCGAACGCTTGTCACGACGTCATCCACATACAGCGCCTCGAGTAGGGCTG